ATATAATTTTGATAAGAATGGATATATGATAGAGATTGACTGAATCTCGCGAACTCTAAGATTCTGATTTTTATGAAACTTTGCAAACATGTAGGAGAGATAAATAGATGAATTTAGACATTTTTACTCGCAGCCCAAAAACGATTCTAAGGATGAGTGAAACATATATAGAGCGGTTTTTTGCTTTGCTCGATATTTTTTCGAAAAATATTATTAAAAAATGTTATGCTAAGAACATTTCTATTCAATCACATTAATTTAAAAAAATATTCTTTTCTGCACGAAGAGAATTTTTTCTTAGAATTTATCCTGAAAATCATGGTAATCGCGGAACAATATGAAATTGGAAGAATTTTATGAGAATTTCTCCGATTAATATTTACCAGCCCTATATATGTATAATAAAAAATATTAATATGTACATAGTAAAATTAATCGAACATATTTTCTATTTTATTGTAATAGATATTAATTTTTTTATTGTGGTAAAAATTAATGAGAAAAACTTTTATATAAAATTTTCTTCCAGTACCATATTGTCGCACACCATGATTTCAAATTCAAACAAGAGAAAATTCTCTCTGTGTACAATTAAAAAATTTTGTTTTCAAAAATTATTTTTCTCCGACTCTCTCTCTTCGATCAAATTAGTTATTTTTCTTACTCGTACGTAAAGTTTCACGAAAATAAAAATATTTGTATTATATCGCGAGACTCTTGCGAGATTTCTCCGCGAATTTGGCATGCAATTTGGCGTGCAGAATTCAATATCGGATAAACTTTGTTTTGTAAGGGGAAGGCTAATAAATATGCTCGACATGCAGTCCATATATTCTCGTTAATATATTCCGTGCGCGATATAATAAATGAACGTGTATATCTCGGGCACGCGACGTGGACGAAGCAATCGAAGCGATAATCGATCGCACGTCGCGCAAGATATTGAACGGCGATCGGTATCCGGTATCGGCTGCGAGACGCGGGCAACAATATGCAAAACGATTCTGCTTATACATCACGAGAGAAGAACGAGGGATGGCCGCGTTGTAGTCGTGGCCCGCGTTTGACAGAGCAATGTTTTTCCTCCGGCGAAAACGTATTGCGCTCGATCGCGCGAAATGGACCGGCGAGCGCGAACAAAAAACGACAAGCGTGAGTTGTGCGGCACGTTACGACGTAATGTAAAGGCCACGAGGCGTTCTGAGCGAAAAAGTTTTCTCGTTATCCATCCATCCGCCCGGGGACTGCGCGCCCGGGACGAAAAAAAGGGCCGGTAAATTGCGGATCCGCAATTTCCGCCAAAGCGACCCTCTCTTTCTCACTCTCTCTCATCTTTCTCTATACCTGCGTCTGATCCGCGCGGATGTTTCAATTCGCGAACGAATGGATTATACGGGCGTTCTTTCGCGACGTGCGTGTGCATACTCGGAAAATAAGACGTTGAGAGCAAAGGAGAGATCGCTCGAGAGGCTGCGAGAGATTCGCGAGAGATACGAGTACGCGTTTAAAAGCGGAGCTTACGAATCATAAACTCGCTTTGCACCTTCTACATTGTAAGCGCAGTGATTATTTCGCCCTTTAGTAGGAGTTAATGCGCTTCGACATTGTTTCAAAGTATTAAAGTCTCACGCGACGTTAAAGTATGTATGTACTTCAACATCATTTGTAATATACTTCTCTAACTGTTATACGTGAAAACGTGATAAGAACACGGGGATGCACCGAAAAAATTGTATTCTGGAAGTAAGAGTACGTATGTATATATATTATAAAATTTCTCTCAACAGATTTCTGAAAATATTTAAGAATAGCTCTTAAATTAAAAAGATTATGATAATAAATAGTTGTGTGTAGACCGTTCATTTGACGTTACATGGTTATATTATTACAGCATTGTAGAATAAATATTTTCGAAAAAGAGTTTTAATCTCCCGTCTCATGTTTGATTTATATGTACCATGTTTATACTTTCTTTATGGTCTTTTTTTGTAAATTAATGTACTTTTTTATAATTTGTTAATGTAAAAATAAATAATTTCATCATATTTTATATCTGACGCTAATCTTTAGAGGAGACATACATATTCCTCTCTTAAATAAAAAGATAATTTATAAAAATAAATGTAAATTCTTAAAATCAAAAATACAATTTTTTCAGTGTGAAATTTCGCGATCGAAGCAATTGGATTTAATCAATGTTGGCGGTTCTTTTTCACGACATGCGCAATTTCAATTCGTAATTTCGAGCGCAGAACAGCGATTAATACAGCGTCAAACATTTGAAATTTGTAGCGTCAGAGAGTTAAATACAACACATGTGTGCGGAGATAAAAGCTTATATTTTCACGTCGCGTTATTGTCCGACAGCTAATCATGATTCGGAATTGATATATCAAAAGCGTCAACAATTTGACCGATTTTCTCGCGACCCGCGCGGTTGTAAATTTATTTCGGATGATATCCTGTCCGCGAATACTTTAAATTCGAAAGCAAGTGCGACGCCCAACAGGAGAGAGAATCATCGGACGTCCATCGATCCGCCCCTTGTCGATATGAATATCTATTAGACGTAATTGATGTCTACCATCCGGCGTAGCGAATGCCGCAGTAAATGTCAAAACGGTCTTGTCCGTTCTGACTGATCGGCATTGTGAAAACGCTTTTGGTCGCGATAGACGAGCTGCCAGCAGATTGTCTCCGGAAAAAATTTCCTTGTCGCTGGAGCCATCGGGACATATATAGTAATATAGAACCGCTTTTAGTTTTCGCCGCTGGTGCCGTTGCAGCTTATTTATACACGCGTACAGTATGTTGAAAAAAAAAAAAAAAAAAAAAAAAGAAAAATAGCCGGAAAATAAAACGCTCACGTTTCGTCATTTCAAATCTGATTGCTTTAACTCCAAACGCGAAATTTTGTGAGTCGCGAAATAAGAGTCCGTTTCCATTATTTGCTTGCAATTTATTGACTTTTACCGCATCACTTGCGACGAGAAATACGTTCTCACCGCGTTTCTTCGGGGAAATGTATATAGTTAAAACTGTGTAACGTTTACGTGGAAAAGCTAACGAGCTTTCTCTCTAAACGCACACATATTTGTAGTTAATTAGAATACTATAGTACGGCAAAAAACGCAAAAGAGATATAAAAGCTATCGGTAAAGATACTTAGCAAGCAAAAGCAAGTTTCAACGTCGGGTCGACAGCAAGATTTAGGTGCGGTAATAAGTTAAAGGGATGGCGAGAGAAAGAGAGTGGAGAGAAACTGATGGCAGGGAGAGAAAGGCCGGAAGAAGGTCTGCAAAGTTTGCGGGAGTGATAGGAGGATAGTAACGCATTTAATGAAAGAGTACGTCGCTGGACAATAAAAAAAAAAAAAAAGAAAGAAAAGGTGTTGGACACACCGAGAACGACGGGTTAGATTGGACGGAAAAGTAATGAGAAATAGAAAAAAGCAGAGAGAAAGTACAATACAAGGTGAGGGTACAAGAATATATGGCGACGCGATCAAATTTAAGAGACGGTACGAAGACAGTACACCGTAGAAATAATTGGGCAGTAAGATTTAATGCGTCGGTGCGCACTAATGTTCCTCGGGATGTTAATGAGAGAACATTAAGCATGGTTCGTGTCTTTGTACAAATGCGTTTCGCAATTTTGTGCGCGATTAAAAATTTCAAAGCGCAAAGTTTTACATATTAAACATTTTGTTTCTAAATCAGGGCGAAAAATTTTAGATGATTCTTTGTCGAAACTTAAGGGAGGTTTCTTATATAAACGCTTCTTGTATATCCCTCCCTGAGGAATTACAGGACTTATTCTAAAGAGGGAGGTAAAAATTAAATTTTTATTTTTTTCTCAAATTTCAGACAAATTTTTTAATGAAACTTGGTGGATATTTTCCTGTCTCATTTTTTTTAATTTATCTAAAGTTTGAGAAAAAAAGAAAAACTTAATTTTTACCTCCTCAGGAAGGGATATAAGAGTATATGTTTATATAAAAGAAACCCCCTCTTAATTTTTTCGACCAAAAATCATCTAAAATTTTTCGCACTTATTTAGATACACTCTGTATAATTGAATAATATATTTGATATAAAATCATAGAGAAAATTAAGTTCTAATTTTCATATACATTTATATTAATATTTCTATTTCATGTTAATATTAATTTCTGTTAATATTAGAAGATTAACGTGAATATGCCAGCAAATTGTTGAAATAAATTTTAATATTAATATATGATTTGCAATGAAGAATCATGCATTGTTATTAATTACTATTTCAATATTAGCCAACAAGATATTAAACAGAATGCTTGTGCACACCACAACTCTTGACCAAAATTGATTCACATTTCGCACATGAATCGCAACGAGGGATTAATTCATGTCCAAGATATTATCCCATGCTGGTATACATAGTATCCAAATATTCGTGTTATCATTTCCACAACCATATAACTATCGTTCGTTCTCTCTGTAAACAGCGCGAATTGACCTATACGAGGAATTGCGATCAATTCCCGTGAGATATTGCCGTTTAACTCTATTTTATATAGCAATTTATCAAATCTCAACGCAAAGATAAAAAAAAGTTTTTTTTCGCACGTGAAAGATACGTCTTCACTTTGTATGAAAAATTCGAGTTTTAGAATAATAAAAAAAATGACACGTTGTCACGAATAATCGATGCTTTCGATGCGAGAGCGAACAGAAAAATTCCGCTTCCCCGCAGGGTCAATCCGGCAATAAATCTCTCCTTTCGCCGTGCGCACCGCGGAAACAGCGACGTACCGCGTAATACCGTCCGTGGACGGGCCGATCCGCGAATCACGACTCGCCATTTACAACGAATCCGTGCGTCGATCGCTCGATAGTTGATCACTCGATATACCCCATACTCCATCTCCTCCTCCTGTTTCTCTTCGCCATCCCCTCCCGAATCTAGTCCCTCTCTAGCAAGAAGAATCGATACACACACACATATATATATATATATACCTGAAGTATTCCACGTATCTGTCCGCTCTTCGTCTCGACGATGCGCGAGGCGTAGCGGGTCACAGGTTGCGATGAGGCCGCGCGACCGCGACCGGCCAGGACGAACAGGATCAGCAGCAGCGCGAGTCCTAGGCGCGGACAGCAGCGGCCCAGTAGCCTGATCTGACGAGTCCTCGTTGCGACCAGCGGCCAGCTCCGGGCCGCCGGCTGGCATGGCAGCGGCATGACAGCATTTGCTGGCGGCCACCTGCAGCGACGCCACTAGCATAACCGTACGGCGACCGGAGGATCGAGTCAGCCCGGATTCCGATATACGGACTAATTCGTTCGCGACGAATGCTAGTATACGTCAACTTATTCGTCCCGCATCACTTTTCTTCCGCGCGTTTTATCCTTCTTTCTCTATTCTGCCTGGCCTGTCCTGGAACTGGCACCCTCGGGTTCGGAGAGTCCAAGTTAAATTACTCTCAAAACATCTTGAATAAGAAAGTTGGGAGACGGCCGGGCCTCCATTATCGCAGCAGGCAAGCTTGGACGTCTCTCTGCAAACAAGAAGTTGGAATTCGATATAATAAAACATCTGCGCGGGATCTCTGCCTAGCGGGTTTATTTTCGATAATAAGACATTTTTGTGTCTGCGCGATATATATTGTGTGTCGCGGATATATCGCGTCCGGATATATATTCAAACCCGGGGAAATGCGTTCTACTGATCAAATCTACCTATCTTTGGCCGCGCGAAAACGGGCTTTTGTTCACGCTTATAATTACAACAATAGGCCTATCAATGCGAACGAATCGCGCTGTAACGTCGATGGGATTGCGCCATTCATCAATTTCTTTTTTTTAAATCGTTGATCCATTTGATACCGCGTCCGGTTTTGCGGTGAATCCGCTCGACGCGCTGATGAACGGACGCGATCCGATCGATCGGCAGTTTTCGAATTTATGGAACTTCGCCGATGCCGCGCGCAAATGTGCGGCGCGCAGTGCGATTAATGCGTTTAACCGAATCAATCACTTTATTAATTAATCCCGCCGCACGATCGGCGGCAACGCTCGAATCGGCGGTCGTCAAATAAATCGAATTTGCCGAGGTCGAAATCGCGCAGCGATAATTAAATCCGAATTTATTCCTTACATCTCAAACTCTCCCAAATACAATATTTGTATTTAGGAAATTATTAAACGTACAGGATGTTTAATTTGTATATATGTATAATATTATAATTAATATAGTCGAATTTTGTTGAATCTATTATGGATGCATATCGAGAAAATATCTCAGTTAAACAACAGTTAAAAAAATTTTATTGTTAATTAAAATACAAAATTATTAACTTTCAAGTTAATTTAATTTTCTTAATGGAATTGCCATATTAAGTATTTTTTTTTTTTTTTATAAAATCGACTGCTCGCAATATTTGCCGCAACAAATTATATAAGAAAAAATTGAAAAAAAAAAAAATTAATGTACATAAGTCATGAATAAGTCTATTGTTGTTAAATTAATCGCTAAGATTCCGAATTGAAAGATTTAATTCACTCAGAATGAATTATATCGATTTGCGCAAACACTTTGCTTCGCAATGTTAATCTTCGTTGTCGAGAATCTCCAACGTGAATAAACCGTATGGGGCATTACACGAGCGCCGTATTATCTTAAGTCCCGCATTGTCGGAGGCGTAAAGAAGGGAAGCTGCGGCAGAGGGTTGCAGACACCCGCTGGAAAAGGTGGTTGAACGCAGAAGAAGAGGGAGAACGAGGTGAGTGAGAATGAACGAGATACGAAGGATTGCGGGAGGATAGAGGTAGAGCGAGGCACTGATTGCACCGGAGAAACTTATCTCTCCGCAGGACAACCTCGCTGATCAACCATCTCCTTCTGGTTTCAATCCTCCGTCAGTTTTCCCTCGCGCTACGTTTTCGCTTTTAAGGGTTTTAACGGCGGCGCCGGCGCCGCTGGATCCCTCATCCGCTAAACTTTCTCGTCCGTTAACGATATCGCCCCGCCAATGGCTGATTTAAATTTTTAATCGCGACTGCATTATCCACGATGGTGATTGGCGCCGTCCGCTCGAATCTCGTCAGTCGACAATTTTCTTTCCGTTCTTCGCTGCCGTTGCAAATTCAAAGTTGACGGGAAATAAATTAATTATAGAAAGCGAATTGTGCGTGAGATTACTTCAAGTACAAAGTACATTTTTTTTTTAACTTCTTCGATCAGCAAACGCGCGCGAAGATATGTCTCTTGCTCCAAAATTGATTTTATTCTCTCTCTCTCTCTATGCTTTTCTTGGTTTTATTCGAATATTTTCAAGCGGTAATTTGCCAGGGAGAAACGAACATAGAGATCATTATTTTTTTAATTATTTCGTTCAATTTCATCATCAATGTGTTTAATGGATTTCCGTTATAATTTCGTATACGTATATATTATAGCTTATATTATTAAACTTTTAAGTAAATCCATTTACTCGGCGCGAATGCGTTTGCGTGTTGTCGTACGTTATATATAACTCGGCACGTTATTACGTAATATGATTTATTTAACATAAATGGATGACAACGAGTGGGACGAGACATATATATATGATGTCTTTTGGTGATTGCGTCATATTTTGCATTATTCGCGGTCGACAACATATTTTCATCGAAATGAAAAATTGGCGACGATAATAGATACGGTATGACCGCCAGGAATAAGTTTTTGCGATAAATTACAACTCTGATATTCAGAAGTTTCCAATTCGGGAAGAAGTACGAGATAAGATTCTCTGTCCCGATTTATTTTTCGCAAATCGATGCGCGTCGCACATGCGGACTTCTCTGCTTCATTATGTAATTTACATCGAAAAAATTGTATTCTTGAAATAAAACGACTGTCAAATTCCTCTTAATATATATTTCTGAGTATTTAGAACATTCTCTGCAAAGTTTTTTTTTTCCATGTAAAATGTAAACCATATTTGTTTGATACGTTATATAGGCATACTGTTACAGCAATGTAAATCGTTATGTAATGTTGCAATTTACAGTGCAGTGTGTCATTGAATAATTGAGTAATTTATTAGAAAAATGGATAAAGTTAATAAGTGAAAAAGAAAATTTGAGCGACTTGAAAGAAATGCTCACGAGTAAGTAACATGTAACATAATTTAATTTAATTTAATTAGAACTCAGTCTTTATGCTCGGTCTATATACTATGTCTATATGCTTTCTTTATGGTCTTTTTGTCTGTGTGCTGTAAAATAATATATCCCTTTGTTAACGTAAAAATTAATTCCACATTTTCATAAATTAAGAATATTTTGAAGCTAATTTTAAAAATATATTTCCTGTTAACGTAAGATTTCTTTGGGTCCTATTTTAGAAAAGGATATACATACATATATATATTGGGATATTTTAAATAAGTAAAAGTTCTTAAAATGAGAATTTTCTCAAGCCAAATCGTCAACGATCGGATAAAAATCCATCCTTGCGGCAGATATATATATATATATATATATATATTATCGTGACTAAACGAGAAGTCCTTGCAGCCGCAATGGGAGAAGCGAGTTCAAAGGGGAATTCAATCGTTATCGGACTCACGTGCGTTTGCTGAATCCATTATGCATCTTGCCTAACCGATTTAACTGATAGAGCGATATCGATCCTAACGAAATCTCGGCGTAAGAGCGGTGATCGATAATCGCGATTAGATCGACCAACGTGGGTCAATTCGGTTATCGCGCGAGCAACGCGCGAGACTTTCAGTCATTCGATAGAACGGAGAACCGGGACTAATTTAATTCAACCTTCAATTATCGGTCGTACCGATCCCCCAGGCGGCTCTAACTTTCCCCCACGTTATAGCGTTCACCATTTCCCGAAGGATTCCGGGAACAGGCGTGTAATATAACTGCGCGAGCGTAAGGCAGCCTTGTACTGCACCACTTTATCTTCGGTTTGACGTTTCATCCGCAAAAATCAAGCGAAAGAAATTGATATCGACGAAGCTTCGCTCCGTATTGCCGCGGTTTTCCACACACGTAAAGCTCTCCGTCATTTTTCAAGTCAGCCAATCTGGCCGTTTTCAAATCCTACAAACTATTATTCGTCATTTACGCCCGTCATATCGCCTCGATATCAAAAATTATTAATATCCATTAATATCCATTAAATGTTTAAATCGTTATGATGGAATATAATTTATTATTTTACGCTTATATGTGTAGATATTTTCCTCGGAATGTTTCTAGGCAACCCATATATCATAAAACGTTCTGGAAAAATTGAATTAAAAATATATATTTATAAATTTAATTTTTTAAAGAACGTTTTATTATGCATAGTGTTATATAAAAAGTACATATATACGTTTCAAGAGATGAAAGTTTTTATCCTTTTATTATTGAATTACAGCCTCAAATTACGTAGGTTTGTCATTGCACACCATTTGTGGCGGCATATTATCACAGGCCATTATGCTAAATTAAAGCCAACAGCGTTTACTATTCCGGAGACAATTTCATTTTTCCAAGATTCCTGTCGAGTTCCCTGCTCTTTAACACGGCGCACCAATAATTTACGCGAGCTCGGGGATCTTCTAAATTTCTCGAAATTCTCTCTGAAGCGTTTCGCGGATTGCACGTGAGAGGAGTCCCAAGACACCATCATTCTTTGTACTTCGATTCGAACGCCAGGGCGTTTGAAAGAGGCGAGCGAAAAAGAGGAAAGAAGAGCCCGGATGAGACTTGCTAGAAGGCGGCGAAGGAAACGCATTCCCTCGCGAAAGAAGAACTACTTCCCATCCACCTGCCGATGATTTGACTTTATAATCGAGTCAGCCTCGTTCAATTACAATGGAATCTCTCGTGGAATTTGCCGCAAACAGTACGCGATTCAGTGCGGTCCGCGATCGTACACTCCGGTAAATATTCTCCCAGTCTACGCCGGATGCATAAGCCATGCGCGACGAATGATTTTCAAGCTCATGATTAATTCACGGTCGGAAAGTGCTGTTAGTTCCTCGAAAGAGGAAATGTTGTTTAGACGTTGCTACCGAGAGAATGAAAAATGCTCGCCACATTTTAAGTAATATCTAAGCAATATATTACTCATGATATACAAGTGCTAAATTTACATATTTAATCGAAATTTATATATTACATTTCTGTTTAATATCATATTAATAAGAGAATTGTTGATAGAATATTGATGCTATTGAATACTATTATATGTAGAGATCTTCGGAATAGAAATGGATCACAAATAGATTATTTGATAATTTGATTGGCTGCGCCACCATTAGTATGAAAACCAGAAAGAGGAATAAGGAAGAAAGGAACAGAGATAATTAGAGTTAGAGATCTTTCAAAAAATTTTATTTTTGTTTTTATAAAATAATTTTAAGCTAAGTTTTAACTAAAAAGATTTTTTTAAATTTTAGTGTAAGAATAAGATAATATATTTCACATCCTTTTATTAACCAATATACATATATATATATATATAATTTTTTTCAATTCAAAATAGTATTTTATTATTTATTAATTGCATTTTATTATTTTAATAACATTTAAAATAATATTTTTTAATTTTAAACATTTAATTTTTGCTGAGAGAGTGAAGTTTCCTGTTTCCGGGTTTCATATACTAATAGCAACAAATTGATCCATCTCTTTCTATAAAATCTTTAATTACAAATCTATTCATTTTAATTAACACATTCTATTATTCTTTTTATAAGAATAGAAATCATATACTCTTATATAATATAATATTCACCGTGTAATGTGTCGTCAAATCGATATGAAATATTTATCAGAGTGCAGTGCTTTGCGATTGAAATTCAATTGAAAATCGAGATTCAACAAGAGGACATTCGAGAGCAAGTCTGTTTTCCTAAATACTGGGCACTGTTTATCGAGCAAACACATCTAGATGAATAGGATCGACGACACGCGTTCGATTCGTATCTGTCCAATATTTTATGCTAAAACAACCGGGAGAACTTGATCACACGCGTGAACGCGTATAGATTGCCATCATTCATTGCTCATTAATGTATTCATTAGATGGGTCCTCAATTTTGCTAACCAACCGATCATGCTTAATACGAAAAGATAATCGCAATTTTTGCAGCATAAATTTTAACGAACCGATTAAAATTAGTTTGCGATAAAAAAAAGACTGTTTTTGAAATAATAATTTTTATTATTCCTGTCTAAGTTCTAAATTCGCCAAAAAAATTTATTGCGTAAAACTATCATATAAGTCGCATTTTTTGCGTCAATCTAATTTTATATCCAATTATATATTTAATTAAAGCAAATATTGTTATTAAATAAATTGTCTGTTACTGAATAAAATTGTCATATCGTACATATACAGAGAGAATTTTTTCTTAGAAAATTTATGTTGAAAATTATGATAATCATATTGGTTCAATATGACATTGGAAAAATTTTATAAGAGTTTCTCTGATTATTGAAAAATATTAATATTTAACCACAATAAGAATATAAAATATGTTCGATTAATTTTACTATATGTACATATTAATATTTTTTATTGTGGTAAATATTAATTAAACAACCCTTATATAAAATTCTTTCAACCTACCATATTATCCCACAATTACCATGATTTTCAGGATAAAGTCTAAGAGAAAATTTTTTCCGTGTATAAATAATGTCTGTATTTACTTGAATATCATGTTTGCGTAAGATAAGTGAATTAATTATTGACATGATTCTTGAAAAAGCAAGCATGTATTATATATAATTAATGCGATAGCAAAAGAGTTATAAAAAGCGTTCGATGTCACGATATATACATATATATACACATACCTTTTCGCTTATTATATATAGCTACAAAACCGCGAAGGGTGCTTTCCCGGTCGTATCTCTGCGAACGAAAATAAGCGCGATCGAAGTACTTAATGGGAGTACGTCACGCTGACCGCAGATAACATGGTTGGACCGACCGCTGGTGAATAGTTGAACTACAGCGGTAATTTTCGGATGGCGACCGGAAGCATGCCTTTCGATGCCTGTTATAAACGTTAAATCGATTAGGCGAGAACCGAGCTTTTACGCACCGAGCACAAATCGTGTTTTTAACGCTATAGCAAGCGCGCAAAACAGCATCGCGAATCGCGGTATTCGATCAGAATCGACTCTGGTGAACGTCGATTACGCGCATGGATAATGTTTAATGCTCTTTTTCGTTTGCCTTTTTCCGTACGGTTTATTCATTTTTCTTTTTTTTTTTTTTATAGGGCGTATAATATCGCGTTATATCGGTTTTATAACAGACCGGGAACAAAGAGGGGAGGGCAATAAGTACCAATAGTTTATATATGAAACTGCAGTGGCTTATACTCTTTGTCAATGCGCTTTAATATTGCGCGACGCACTGCGACATGTCACGCATGTCGGAGCTTTTCGGGGAAAACGCGCGCGCGAAAGCATTTTATTCGGCAGAATCTGTAAGCCGGCAATCGCTATCGACGTGTATTTACAGTCGGTTTAATGCAGCCGATACCATCGCGTCTATCGGCATATTCGACAACGCTAGAAAATCGATAGCACTATATGTTGGCCAAATAAACGCATGAGTTGTTTACGACTTGAGAGATATTTGCGAAATTTCTGAATTCTCGCATTGCGAATTAAAATTTTACATTTTCGCGAAAAGCTTGAAGATTTTACGTTAATTACGTCCTGCAATATTTAATTCAGTTACGTTTTCATCGAATCTGCATTATTTATCTTATTGTGATGTAAAATAAAGAACTTAGATTAGCTTCCTTTATATATAAAGTTGTAAGTTGTAAATTAAGTATTTTTTCTTAAAAATAACTATATATGTATCTTTCATACTAATTATTTTTTTTAATTAATTATTTTGTATAAAAATATTAAAGTAAGATAATTGACGTTATATCCAAGGGTAAAAAATTCACGATATTATATCCCTTTCGAAATCCTAGTTTTGCCTGATACATTTTTTCCTAAGACCCCGTCATAACTCGAGATATTATCATTTTTAAAATCAAACATCTTGTACATAATATAAAGAGCGAAAAAAGCGATTAAAATGTAAAATCTACTTTATACGCATTTACTTATTTATTTATTTATAAATCTCGCAAGCAGTTTATATAATATAAAGCTCTGAAAATGTTGCTTGAAAAGCTTCGAAGAGAAAAGCGAGCAATTCTTGTTTGTCGAATTTGCCTTGCAACAGTCTCGCCTTTATTTTCTGTTTTCAAACTGTGCACGGAATATCCTACAATACGCTATCGTTCCTCCTTCGTGGAGTAGCCGGCGCGCTGAAATCTTCCGCCGAGATTAAATGACTTCCAGTTGTATAGAATCTTAATGTCGGAAGGCGCTACTTTGCCGGAGATACAGCGCGCTTTCTACGAAACGGCTTCAAGTAGGATTTAATGTTTCGTGAAACACGAAGTACAGATTAAAATGCCTTAGATCGGATTTACCTTCGTTGCTGTATTAAGAGTGATTTTAGAAATATTTGTATCCGCTCGAATAAGTTGAGATTAACGAGTAACAAATGCAGTTCTATCGATATTCTCTTCCGAGAGATAAAGTCCATATATATAATCAAATAAATAATTAAATATATATATATGCGTATACATATGTATGTGTATATAATTAAATATGAAATGTATATTGATATATGTTTTCTTTCTCTTGTACAGTTTCTGTTCGTACGTATAACAAAAAAAAACACATAAGAAAAATAATTGAAAGTTTAAATAAATAATTTATAAAATCTTAATAAACGATTTCATGTATACAATAATTATCATACTGAAGTATACATCTTTTCTGTTCGAATCAAAATATTTTACAGAAATACATACATATTTTAGAATAATATATTTTTGCATCTTTTTATTTACATCTTTACATATCCTTAGGAAAACAAAGAATGAAAAAAATTTTAAAGTCTGAGAAAAATCACATATAAAATCAATATATATATATACATATATATAAAGTATGTATATCCATAAGAAAGGTAAAAAGAAAAATAATTGAAAAATAGAAAAATAATTTTTGCATTATTTTATTTTTCAAGTACAAAGAAGTGAAGAAAAAATATATATTATATAAGAATATAAAGAAATGAAAACTGTTGCATCGTTCTTTTAAAATAAACTTTAAAATAAAAATTGTTTATACACAGAGAGAATTTTCTCTTAGAATTTATCCTGAAAATCATGATAATTGTGGAACAATATGGTACTGGAAAGAGAAGAATTGTATAAGAGCTTCTCTGATTATTGAAACACATATCTAACTACAATAGGATATAAAATATGTTCGATTAATTTTATTATGTACATATTAATATTTTTTATTGTGGTAAATATTTATTAAAGAAATTCTTATAAAAATTTTCCAATACCTCATTGTCCCATAATTATCATGATTTTCAGGGTAAATTCTACGAGAAAATTCTCTCCGTGTATATGTATATATGTATGTATATATAGAAGCAATTTTTTTCACTCGTTTAAATTTTATTTTTAAGAAAATATTGCAAATCTTTTTTACTTTATCTTATTATTTTTCCTACAGATATGGATGGAGACTTACATAAGAGAAGAAATTATATATATATATAAGTAGGTAATTCGTCTTCTATATCTTTATTTATAAAAATATTTTAAAACAATATATTTTATTTTGTATCTTTTTAATTTACATCTTTATATAATTATTGAGAAGACAAAGAATTTAAAGGAAGATATGAGAGAAACTCAGGGAAAAAAATCACATAAAAATCAAATATAAATATATATAATTATATGTTTCTCTCATATTTTCCTTTAAATTCTTTGTCTTCTCAATAATTATATAAAGATGTAAATTAAAAAGATTTATATATATATATATATATATATATATATATATATATATATATATATTTTATATATAATTATATATATTTATATTTGATTTTCTCCCCTGAGTTTCTCTCATATCTTCCTTTAAATTCTTTGTCTTCTCAATAATTATATAAAGATGTAAATTAAAAAGATACAAAATAAAATATATCGTTTTAAAATATTTTGATAAATGAAGATATAGAAGACAAATTACATACTTTAATATGATAATTATTGTTATACACATAACAATGATAATTTTACATCATAGTTGTGCATATACATGCACAACCAAGCATTATGATTCTATATACTATTCACTTAAAGAGTTAAGCTTTCATTGTTATTTTGCTGTACGCTTAATACATCCATTAATATTTAATGAAACACGCTAGTAAAAAGTCTCTTAATAAATTAATCATACCTTAATAATAAAATTTCGACGGGTACGTTTATTTTACCAAGTTCCAACAGCTCGCGGCGTCGCGGTCAATATATCGTCTGAAGTTAGCCGCTCACGCATGCGCGCTGCGCGCACGACGCGGCACTCGGAGGAACCTCGCGAAGGTCCACAGTGGCAGTCCGAGAGCGCAGCGCAAGGTATTGCGCTTGTTCGTTTTGTCATTTCAATTTTATTGGCAAGCTGTCATTTCTAGATGTAAAAAAATACGCAAAATACTCTCAGGAAGAATATTGTACGCCAAGGTGAGTGTCGCTGCTGCTTAAGAATGCTTCTTACCTTATATTAATATTTCGCCATAAAATTATATTTTATTAATTTTGCGATTTTTTTATACCACCTTGATTTCCATAAAATACACGCAATTTACACTTGATAAAATATCAATTATTTCCGCAAATAATCTCGCAAATTCGAGCTTAAAACACTTATTTTGGTAACCATAACCTAAACGCTCCAGTAATGTCAACGTTTAATCGTCTCGATTTTATAATGCATTATGCACTGATTATGCAATGAATATGCATTTGTCATAAATATAAAATGAAAATGTTTGATCATTGATATTTAAAAAAATGTGACGATATGAATATAATATTATTAATTTGTTTTCCTTGTTTGCAGTTTGAGACAAGATGTCGACGTCAGCAATATATATTTTGGATGTAAAGGGCAAGGTGTTGATCTCACGAAATTATCGTGGCGACATCGAGACTGGTGTCATAGAAAAATTTATGCCATTTGTGATGGAACGCGAGGAGGAAGGTAATCTTACTCCCATTATTCAGACACCGGAGTGTACATACGCATATATAAAATATAACAATCTCTACATCGTGTCCACTACGAAGAAAAATGCAAACATATCCCTGGTATTTGTATTCTTGCACAAGGTGGTGCATGTCATGCAAGAATATTTTAAAGAGTTGGAAGAAGAAAGTATACGAGACAACTTTGTTGTTATTTATGAGCTCCTAGATGAATTGCTGGACTTTGGCTATCCTCAAACCACTGATAGCAAGATTCTGCAAGAATATATTACTCAAGAGGGTCACAAACTGGAGATTCAACCCAGGATTCCTATGGCTGTAACCAATGCTGTCTCTTGGCGATCAGAGGGTATCAAATATCGCAAGAATGAAGTCTTTCTTGACGTAATAGAGTCTGTGAATCTTCTAGCGAATGCCAACGGAAATGTCTTAAGCTCAGAGATTGTTGGTGCCATAAAGATGAGAGTCTATCTGTCAGGAATGCCGGAATTAAGGCTAGGTCTCAATGATAAGGTCCTGTTTGAGTCGACAGGACGCGGTAAGTCTAAATCTGTGGAACTGGAAGACGTCAAATTTCATCAATGCGTGAGGCTGTCACGTTTCGAGAATGACCGAACGATCTCGTTCATCCCGCCGGATGGTGAGTTCGAGCTGATGTCGTACAGACTGAATACGCACGTGAAACCTCTGATATGGATCGAATCCGTGATCGAACGACACGCTCACAGCCGAGTGGAATATATGATAAAGGCGCGTTCGCAGTTCAAGCGTCGCTCGACGGCGAACAACGTGGAGATCGTGATTCCAGTGCCGAACGATGCCGATTCGCCTAAATTCAAGACCACAATTGGCAGCGTCAAGTATTCACCCGAGCAAAGCGCTATCACTTGGATCATCAAGTCTTTCCCCGGCGGTAAGGAGTACCTCATGAGGGCGCACTTTGGTCTGCCGTCGGTAGTCGGGGAGGATGTCGAAGGCAAACCACCTATACAAGTGAAGTTCGAGATACCGTATTTTACTACGTCTGGTATTCAAGTGCGATACTTGAAGATCATTGAGAAGAGCGGGTATCAGGCTCTACCATGGGTACGCTACATCACGCAGAACGGGGATTACCAACTACGGACGAATTAGCTAGGCGACAACGGAGTGGATGACATCAGGATCTCGGGCGTTGTGCCTGAGTACAAGGACTAGTCGAATTCATAGTATGCTTCAGAGCGGATTAGAATCGACGGTAATTATTTTACCATTCCGATACAATATATTGGAAAGATGATGCGAAATATGGTGCAAAAAGAAATTAGATTTTTTATTTCTTCGTTTCAAGAAATTCCATACTCTGTACGCGTTTGGTTTTAATAGATTTAATATTTCTTTAAAACAAGCTAATATATGCATATGATTAAAAATTCCTCTTTATGGACAGTTTGCATTTGAAATTGATCCGTGTCTTCAGAGTACTTAAATGGATTTTTGCGTTTGATATCGATGGAGTAAATTTTATATCTCATTTTATTTTTTAAACACGATGTCGATATAACAACATTTAATAAAACATGTATATCACAACTTTATGTCAGAATCATGTATAAATATCGGCAATTTATTTTATATTTTTTTATGAGAGGCGAATTCACAAACAGGCAGAACCACTCGGTTGTTAATTAAAAACTTTAAATAGTATTATATGAATAAAGATTAAATGTATACCAATATCACATGTTTAATAATCGTAATATTATTAGGTTTATGTCGGTTCGACGCATATTAATTGTAAGATAACGTAAAGATATATTAAATTTTTAAAAGAAATGAAATATATATATATATATAGAAATTATTTTTTTTAATAATATCATTCCTATGTCACATTTTCATTCCTTTTCTTTGTAATATAATATCAGTTACCTGTTCCCTTAAGAATTCTCCTCGGAAAATCGAAGATTGCTTGGCTATGTTGCATCGAGACTGGCAGAAAGCTCGTCGGTGCGAGAAAAAAACGATAAATATTTCAACGAGAGAGAGAGAGAGAGAAATCGTTCGTGTCGTAGTTTTGCATGCATACAGAGAAGGGAGACACGAAAACGCGATTAGAGCGAAATAGTGGAAGCCCAAAACTTTTTTTATTTCGGCCTCTTTTTCTCGCCCTCCGAATGCTCGCGGTATGCAAATTTTTTTGGTATGAACGCGCACGAGCGTGTAATAATTTTATGGAAATCAGTAGTCTCGCCAAGTAGTGCTCGCTCGCACAGAATTTCATACGCATGCGCGCGTGCGAATCGGGAAAAAGAGTATGGACCACGAGAGGAAAAAATCTCTCACACCATATCGCGATAAGTGACGCCTTCGTGGTCCAGGTACGTCGTATCGAGAAAAGAATGACGTTCGCATGCTTATCCCGTATTCATCGGCAGTACCGAACGAATTTTTTCTCCTTTTTTTTTTTTCATTACTCCTTTCTTTTTATCTCGATCCGCCCACCCTGTTACGAGCTGCATTACGGCGCGCCGGAATGCAACGGGCAGATAGCGATGGTAATGTTCGGTTGCTGCATAGATAGTAATCGGCCTGGAAATGGGTAAAGGAGGTTGTTACGAGTGAATTAGCGGGTCCCTGTGCGCGTGCAATGTGTTCGAAGTAGTTGCAGGGAATCCCCAAGAGTCAGTTTAATGAGAGAAATTTTTAGCAACCGATTGTGTGTGACGAGAAGATGTAATTTGTACGTCATTTGCATAAGAAATTCATTATTATTAGTTATTATTTTTTTGGCTAAATCTGGATCTAAATATGTATATTATCTTTGATTCGGTTATTCATGTTATTTTTCTATCTGTGGTTTTATCATTTATTTTTATAATTCATTTTTCATTATTTATAATTATTTCTCAAACATTATTTTCAAATTAATTTTTATAACTTTTATAATTACTTGTGACAAGAATCTATTGCAAAAAAAAAGTTGATAAAAGACGGCGCATGCTGTGAATGATAAAGTGTTCTACTTCTAACAAAGTAAGCAAGACAAATGACACGGTAAATGATGATAACGATAACGGGAGAGTTAAGAAGATATAGAAGTTACAAATTCTTTTGAAGACGTAAGGGAATTCAATCATACTCTTGCTTTAGGAAGATACACATAATCAATATAAAAGAACATAGAGCTAATATAAATTCTTATTTTACATTTGAATTAGCATTAGCGTTTTCCAGTAATCATCAATTAAAATTCTATATATATATTTTTTTTTTCAATAATAATTAATCAAATAAGTATCCTAAGCCAAGATGATGACAAATGATTTCTTTTACGTTTTTGGAATCGTATACTCTTAATCTGGCGCTCCCATCATTTCTTCTTATCTTCTTACAATTAACCGATAAGAGGCGAGCGGTCAATGAAGAAAATATCAGAATCGATTGCGCCGATGTTATTAATTAACACGTTAGACTCGTTCGATTAAATACGAGAAAACGAGAGAATTCTTAACGCGTTTGAAACGGAAAGGATCTTTCGAAAAAAAAGAAAAGGGAAAAAGGAACAACCATTTCAATTCGATCGACGAGACTCTCACGAGTACAAACCGCCAGTGGAATTCGAGTCGAGTAATTTCCAAGGGATTCATCTTCTCTCTCTTTCTCTTCTTCTCGGTATATGTTGCAGAGTCGTTAATAAAAAAGGCAAATTTACGCCGGTCGAGCCGGTAGCGTTGAGGAAATCCGACCCGATCGCGAGATGCCTGGCGGCGTAATGGGATGCGCGGAAGGAGAGAAGCTCCTGAGAATTTTCCTGCCTCCGTCGTGCACCTGCAACATCCGTCTCATCCGTTCTCGTCGACGGCGGTAGGAAATTCAGGCAGAGAGAGAGACGATTTAAAGTTGCACCAGCGCGTTTCTCCCGCGAGAAACTCTCGTCCGTCATCCAGCGAGCCGATTTTCTCCCTCTCCGACGTTCTCCGCGATATTAAAACTTATCTGGAAAATATATGTATATGTGCGCGCGTAGTCTAGACGTGTACACCAAGATGCCAGACGAAGACACGTACGGTGAAAGAAAGTTTGGGCGAGTTTGCGAGTTGCATTAACGAAGTCGCGCCGCGAAAACATCATCGCGAATCGATATCGATTGTACGTCGGTGCCGACTCAGGAACCTCGAGTAATTTGGTCGTCGTTTATATATAAGCGAGGAGAGTGTGCACTTATCCCTAGAGCGGAAATTCGCCAACTTTGGAGACTCCAAAATTCGAAATCCGCGCAGTTAGCGCTAAATGCCGAGTATCCATCCAAAACTCGAGTAGTCGAGTAGTTGATTATGTCAGTCAAGTGTTTTGCAACTGCAAATTTAGCGCTAAACACGTCCAACTTGAGTTTTATACAAGGTGTAACAATAATGTAGGCCACTATTTCAGGAGCATTATTCTCATATCTGCTCATCATGCGAAATAAGCAAAAGTTAATACATAAACATATGATTAAAAGTGATTTTTAACTGGCTCTTCGTCCTGCCAGGACACTTGACAGATGCTACTTATAGATGCGCTGACCATCCTTTATATTTCAAGTAGCTATCCTTTAGATTTATTCTTTTTTTCTAATTCAATTTTGTCTTTTATTTTTATTCAGCGGTTTAATGTAATATATATCATATTAACATGAAAATTTGAGAAACGAAAACGGAATCTCTTATCTGGAATTTCTTTAAAATCAATCAAGTTAGTCAAGAAATCACTATAAAGACGAGTTCCATTAATAATTACTGATTCGGAAACATATGTTGAAATAAAACCCTATTTTCAGGTTCGTATTTTCGTCGTCTCAAAAAATAGACAATGAGAGGTTCAATTTTTCCTTATTCTGGAGATTCCAACCTGCAAATCTGATTCGCAGAATATTCCGATATTTCAACACGTCCAACTTGAGTTTTATACAAGGTGTAACAATAATGTAGGCCACTATTTCAGGAGCATTATTCTCATATCTGCTCATCATGCGAAATAAGCAAAAAAGTTAATACATAAACATATGATTAAAAGTGATTTTTTAACTGGTTCTTCGTCCTGCCAGGACACTTGACAGATGCTACTTATAGATGCGGTGACCATCCTTTATATTTCAAGTAGCTGTCCTTTAGATTTATTCTTTTTTTCTAATTCAATTTTGTCTTTTATTTTTTATTCAGCGGTTTAATGTAATATATATCATATTAACATGAAAATTTGAGAAACGAAAACGGAATCTCTTATCTGGAATTTCTTTAAGAAATCAAGGATTTGTTCCAACATAGTCAAATCAATTTTAAACTATAAAGATTATGTAGACTTCTGATAGTCATGAGATAATTTTTTTGGTCGCAAACTGATTCGGAAACATATGTTGAAACAAAACCCTATTTTCAGGTTCGTCCTTTATCGTCTCAAAAAATCTAGACAATGAGAGGTTCATATTTTTGTTACACCCTGCATTTGCGTGGAATAAAGATCAAACGTGATGAAGATTCGACAACCTGCAAATCTATTTCGCAGAATATTCCGATATTTAAAATTGAGAAGATACTCGCGCGTTTCGTATTTCCATATTTCGTTGAGAACTAATGGAAAACGCGACTCGAAACGCGGCTTTTTACCGCGCATTGTAATTTACATCGTGTATTATGGCTCGTACACCCCCCATTAAATACACATGCGCGTGTATTAAACACGACTGGGATATATTCCATGCGCGAGAGAGAAAATGATGTTAAAATAATTTCGTTGCAGACATATATATATATATATATTCCTCGGCTAATTATGCGCGGGATGCTTCTCTCCCATCTACATAATGACATGCACAAAATGGAAATATCGAGCTGCTACGAAATCAATTATTGTTGATAATATTAATCATCAATTGTGCTTACCGAAACTCTCCCAGTTTTCCTCCCTTCCTCTTTTTGGCATAATTATTCATGCGTACGCGGCATTACACAATGTAACACGCGGAAGGAAAAGAGGAAGGAGGGCGGGTTTCTTGGAAGAGAATGTTATAATGAAACTCCTATGTTTAAGTAAATAGCTTTAAAGCTACGAAATATTACATAGTTGTCTGTTTCTCTCACGGCATTCGAAGCTACTTTAAATAGTTATCATACTCTCGTCGTGTATAGTTCGTATCTCGCCCTATTAAATTACAAGGTCTTTCGACGTTATCAGGGAGTGACTTTTGAAATTTGAAAATTTATTTCCGCAGATAAAATATACATATTTCCCTTATTCTCTTACCCACAATGAATAAAATATATTCTTCATTTTTGCACGTGCGTTACATATTCATTGTATATATGAAATATATATTGGTCAAGCAACAATAATATCTTTTAACTATTCGCATGTACACACGCACCTGTGTACGCACGCATACTTTTACAGATACGCATACATATATATATAGTATATAGAGACATGAAAACAGATATGCGTCCGCTAGCGCGTTAAAATACAGATTGTGAGATCGCGGCTTTCACAAATTCGGCGCGATCGACGAATCGAATTATTCGAGACGGTGAATTCCGATGTCAATTCCGTTTACAATCATCCTGATGAAACTCCGCGTCAAATAGCCACGTTTGTGACTAATTGCACGCTTTGAATATACGAAGCGTACCGTTGAATTTCCGCACTCATCTACGTCCGTGCGTCATTAACTTCGAAACTATGTTGAAAATCATCGTGCA